TCTCTGCCAACACTGAAGGTTCTATGTTAAACAGAGATTTTGGTACTGACTCAGTTGAGTCCACGGACAACTCGCTGCTTGCCTTGGAGCAACGTGTCGAAGAGGCTTGTGCTTTGGTCGAAAGAGTTCTTAGAGAAAGAGAGGAACGGGAACAGTTTGGAAGGGAAATAGAAAGGAAAGAACGAGAAATAAGAGAACAGAGAGCTCGAAAGAAAAGAGAAAGGGAAGCAAGGGAGCAGGAGGAAGCTAACAGGTGGCCACAACAACAGGAGGCCATCACTGGCCGCTCAAAGTGGTCGTGTGAACATTACCAGAGGCACTGTAGAGTGCGATTCCCTTGTTGCAGCCACTTCTATTCATGTCACCGCTGCCATAATAACTCTAAAGCATGTGACAATGAAGAGGCTAAGGCCGCCCATGCGACTCACCTCAAGTGCTCATTCTGTCAACACGAACAGGAGGTAAGTGTTTTTTTTTATTATTGTTTAATTCAGCAATGACCGGCGAAAATGGGGTTTATTGAGCAGGCTCTTTCATTGGAACGGGGCGTGTATCAAGAGACACAAAGAGTTATTCAAGGTTTTCTTCTGTTTGTTTTGATGTGGTTTGACTCTCTAAAATGGAGTACATTGAATTGTTACGAGGACAGTTTTACACGCGAATGTAATTCAAAGTTAACAATAGAAAACTGGTTTGGTAATATTTTACAAAGCTGCAAGGGCTTCAAAGCAAAAACGGTGCATGAAATATTCTTTGGGGACGCTGTTTATGCTTACGATGAGAACTGTACTCCCACGTACGCGTGCGCAAACAAACTTGCGAGCACAGCCTGAGTACATATGTTAATAATGAATGACAAAGCCTGTGGTTTGTTCCTCAATGGTGAATTGTTTCTGCGTCGTCATTGTTGCAGATTGGTGAAGACAGTGGAAAATGTCGCAGCTGTGGAGCTCAGATGTCTGCGTATTTCTGCTCAATCTGTAAACATTTCACAAGTGTTGATAAGAATCCTTACCACTGTGAAAAATGCGGAATATGTCGGTAAGGAATATGATCAAATTTTAATTTGCTGAAAGATTTTTCCCATCAACATGCTTATAAACCCATCTTTTCCCATTGCGTACAAAAACGACATATTTCTTTTCATGAACTTCTACGTCTTGTAATTTCACATGTGTAATATCTGTCTTCGATCATATTCGTGTCTTTCATTCTTGCCTTTAGCTAGAAACAATAATATTATTGTAGTTGTCAGTTGACAGAATTGGGCTTACAGCAAAGAGTTGAGTTCATTTCTTTTATGGAATTTGACTTCATGTCAGTAATTATCAGGGATTTCGATGTCATCTCGTTTTCAAAATGGTGATAGTTAACAGAGCTGCAAAAGGGTTACTTTTAAGTTCCTTTCATCCCTAATTATAATTTTCCATTTGCCACTTATTTCAGTTCTATATCAATATGAAATGTATTTTTTTATTATTTCTTCTTTAGAATCCACAAGGATAAATCATTCCACTGTGAGGTGTGTAATGTCTGCCTGGACAAACGTCTTGAAGGAAAACATAAGTGCAGAGAGAATTCTGGGCACGATGAATGTTGTATCTGCCTGGAGGTGCGTTCGTAAACCAATATAAAGATACTTGCACCTTTCTATTGTCTTTTTGGGCGTTTCCCGCGACAGGATACTCGTACTTTCCCGCCATACAAACATCGCATTTTCCCGCCATATGAACTTCGCACTTTCCCGCCACATGAACTACGCGCTTTCCCGCACATGAACCTCGTACTTTCCCGCCATAAGAACCTCGCGCTATCTCGCCATACAGACCTCGCACTTTCCCGTCACGTGAACCTCGAGCTTCCCCGCTACATGAACCTCGCACTCTCCCGCCTCGTGAACCTCACACTTTTCCGCCACATGAACTGCAGGCTTTCCCGCCGCCGTGTCTCACGCTTTCCCATGATAAAATCCGAAACTGTAACCAGCGCTTCTCACTTAACACACCATTACAGTATTTAAGCGAAAGCCATCGTGTATTAATAGTGTTATCATTGTTGTTTTGTGTAGGATGCATTCAGTGGTTGCCAAATCTTACCGTGTTCGCATAAAGTACATCGGGAATGCGCCATCGCTATGATACAGAACGGAATGTGAGTACAGCTATATGTACATATATAATATTGTGTAACTTAGTTTCTTTTGCATGAAATGTTATTTTGTGCGCATCGCCCAGATCTACAGCTTTTTACAGGATTCACGGGACTTGATTAGCAGATGAAACTTTCTCCTCCCTTCTTGTTAAAATATACTGAACTTCGCAACGCAACTCGTAAAAATATTGTTTAACCTTTGTTATACAATATTTGACTGACTTTATGAGATGGTCCCTCCAGCCTTCTATTTTGCATAACTTGCCCTCTATTTTTGTGAAAAGGCAAACCAGTAACTGGTTTCCCGGCTATTAGGCCCTGGGAAGTGACTGCAAATCCGGCGTAAAAGATAGATTTTAAACTAAAACCTGGAACAGACTTGCAAACGGTCAAATGACGTTAATTTTGGAAGCCGTAATTTTCATTTCATCGGAAAGTGTGCCTATGAAAGGTTGCTACTATTAAAGCTGAACTACTCTTTGGCAAAAACGTGTTGCAGAGAGAAACTTCTTGAGATTTCTTTAGCGTGAGCACTCTATCCCATTCATGGCAGGTTACTCTGCATTGCTAGGCCGTGGCAGGTTGTCCGAGGGGTTCGCCAATACCCAGATATACTGTAGGAGAAAGGCATTGTGAAAGACAAGTGTCTTGTCCAAGAACTCAATATATAAAACTCAATCGTAGTTGAAACCCAGACCACTCGATCCCGAGTCCATCGCGCCTCCCTTTAGTAATTATATAGACATACCGAAAATGGCAATAAGAATAAATTAGAGCAAACAGGATTGATTAACTGTTTTTTTTTTTGTGGTTCTAGTCGCACTTGCCCAGTATGTCGACACCCGCTATACAGCCAAGCCTCAGAGTGATCATTTCGTCGATGTTTGGTTGAGAAATGCCATTACCAGTCGTACATGTACCTTCTTGGTCTCCAAACACAGCTACTTCTTGTTGTCAGACTATTTGACTTCGCAGTTATTAACCAAAGAGAATGTTATTATGGTGCAAATGAAGTCTGCACAGTAGATTTCTTCATATGGACAAATTGAAGCATACACTTGAATGGTAAAGCATATGTACGTAGTCTTCTCATAAGGACGAAATTATGGGGATGTCAGCGCACTTTTTCAACGAGCGCCCGCGTCAGAGAAACACCCGTTGAAGGTGTGTCTTGTAATACGCGAACCTCTTAAATAAGTGCGTTGTTGTTGTATTGTATGTGCCTCCCGAATGTAAGTTAGGCTTTGTATTGAAAACGGTTCTATTTTCAAGAGCTAATTGTCACTATTCGAGACGAAGCCAAATTCTTGTTTCTAGTTGAGGCAAAATATTTTGAATGATCACATTGTCTTGAGCTCACAAAATTTAATTTTATTTAATTTAGTTATATATTTAGCAGGCTAGGCGTGAGCCGGGTTGAGTCCATACCGTATCGATAAGAGACTGGATTTTTCAATTCCTTAGCAAAAGAATGACAAGGGTAACATAGTTGTTAATGTTTAGACGGTAAGTGTGATCTTGCTCGCTTACCCAATAAGCCAGAAGTCTTTCAAAACAAATAATCTTGTTGGCAATGAGCTCCCTTTATTCCTACGTTAAGAGTTGTGCGGGGAGAACATTTTTCAGTTAAAAAAGCTGAAAATATGATCTATTTCATGTTTTAATATTAATTGAAATGTTGTTGATATTATGTTATTACAAGAAAATTACATAGTGTAGCATAATTTGAAAATTTGAACAATTCAGTCGAGTTACTGATTTTGAAATCTCCCCGTTTCCTCTTGAAGTTTATTATTATTTATTGTATTTTTGTATGTTTAGCATTTCTCAATGTATTTATTACTATTGTAGTATTTCAATTTGTATTTTGATAGTTTTCCAAATGTATTTTTCGTTTATATTGTAGCTGAAAAATCCACTTAGGGAGCTTCAATAAAGTTTGTATCACAGGCAGACCACTCTGTGTTGTGGTTAATAATTATTTATATGAAACGAGCAGAATCTATGAGGGTTATGAATAAAGCTCTGAAAATTTCATATATCTAAATTACATCTCGGTCTGAATATCCCACTAAAGTTAAATGAAACGTTAATCAACTCGTGTGTGACGTTTTTTCGCCTTCCTGGGCCATCTGAAGTGTCTTGTTACGAAATTAGTTTTGGCCGGAAACCCGCCGCCAAAAGTAATTTCGTGAAAAGATGCCTCAGATGGCCGAGGAAGGCGAAAACACACCACACGAGTCGATTAACGTTTCATTTAACTTTGTTGGGATATTGAGACCGAGATGTAATTTAGATATGCAATCTTCAGAGCTTTATCCATTACCCTCATAGATTCTGTTCATTTCATATAAACAATTATTAACCACGAGCATATAGAGTGGTCTGGCTGTGTTTGTATGTATGTATGTAAGTGAGATACTAATATATTTTTTGCGGTAGATCTTTTGGAATTATAGATACTGTTTCATGTTTCATCAACTGTGTTTCAGTTTTTCTTGACGGCTTGTTCGTTTGATTAATTACCGTACCCAAATTTGGAATAAGCCAATCAGAAGCCGTTTCTACTGCCCTGGTATCTCGCGATATCATGGTCAACTGGGCCGAAATTCTTTATTGTACCGTTTTTGGTACGATTCGGGGGCATATCACAGATATCAGACTCATTTGGTCTCGTAGTGGGTATTTTGGATCGACCGTGTTTCGCCATGGCTCGACCAAACTCGCCTGATAATACCTCCGAAGCGTATCAAAAGGAAGCTCATTGAAAGCTTCCTATATGGTCTTTTGTTTGGTTTATGATCTTCAAACAACTTTTGTGAGTTCCTTATTATCTTCACTCTCCCTTCTTTTCTGTCTTTTCTTGCTTTGTACGCCTGGCCTGTGTTTGGAGCAACCCGATATCACTGTATCTTCCTATAAATTGACGAAAGCCGATATGAGAAAGGAAAATTCAGTAGTTTGTTGTCATATTTTATATTATTGAGCCAAGGGAAATTTCCTGTCTCCCCTTTTAGCTGGCCCGCGTTTCTCCCGCCGCCAGGCTCTCTCTCTCTCTCTCTCTCTCTCTCGATAAGGAGAGGGAGCCTGGTATCGATGTGTGAGCGAGTGTGAACTTTTTGTGGCGACAATTTCGAAGACGAGTTCTAGTCGACGAATGCGTCACCTTTGAACAACGAGAATCGAATCTAGAGAATAGGGCTCGAATTGCTATGGATAAAAACGTTGACGATGTCTCCCCCACTTCTTCGGCTTCACGAGAAGACAACGAAGCAGGTATTTAATGACGAACCTTATTTCTGTTTTTAGGTGAACGATGGCATTTCAATTACAGCTTGTTTTAGGTAATTTCTTTGCAGATTCGCGTCGAAGTCGAATAGGAACATCGGATATACAGGTAAGTTTATGTGTCAAGCCAGTATAAAACAAGTGTTGGAATTTGTTTTGAAGCGGCTATATTACGCTTGGGGACATTTGTTCACACATGTGAGTTACTACTTTATGTAAGACTACGAATTATGTCCCGAGAATATAGCTGTAGCCTTAGTATACCCTTCTACACCCTTGTATACTCTTGTATACCCCTGTATACCTTTGTATATCCCTGTATACCCTTGCATACCCTTGCATACCCTTGTATACTGCTGTTTACCCTTGTATACCCCTCTATACCCTTGTATACTCCTGTATACCCTTGTGTATACCCTTGTACACCCCTGTATACTCACACATACCCTTGTTTACCCTTGTATACCACTGTATACCCTTGCATATCCCTATATACATTTGTATATCCTTGTACATCTCTGTATACCTTTCTATACCCTTCTATACCCTTCTATACCCTTGCATACCCTAGGTTACCCCTGTATACCCTTGCATACCCTAGCTTACCCCTGTATACCCCTGTATACCCTTGTATACCCTTGTATATCCCTGTATACCCTTGCACACCCTAGTTTACCCTTGTATACCCCTGTATACCCCTCTAAGAAGGTGGGCTTGTCAATCATGGACTATCTGCAGAGCCTCGGGCCATTGAATTTTTGTGGCAAAAGTCTGGGCAATTTTTCTGTGCAGAGACCCACAAGTTCACAATGATTTGGCTTTTGCGACAGCTCCCTTTTCCTTTATGCTACGACGGCATTTATGACGATTCTTCTGGGACACCTTGCACATGCTCAGAAGGGAAAACAACCTTGCGGTCACACAATCTTAAAATATCGGGAAAAAGACAAGTAAATACAAGAGTGAAGGGAATTTCTCACATATAAAAACCTGTGTGATCTTGGCTTGATAGGAGTCGCATAATGAGAAAAATTCAGAGATTTCCCTTTACGCGTTAATAAGTAATGAAAACATATTCAGAGAGTTGTAACCAAACAATTACCGCAAAGCCAGCAAATTCTTGGGATGAACATCTTGAAAACCTCGTTTTAATGCAGCACTTATACAGGAAAAGAAACACCTTTTTGTTCAGAAATAGATAAAAGATCCTTGAGCAAACAAACGCTCTTTCTATGTGAGAAAAGAAATCAAAATGCTAGTAATTTTCTGAATGCTATTTGCACACGTGTTGCCTGAACTGAATTAGAACACATGGATGTTCTCTAGTCAATGCATTGTTTTCTATTATTTTGAACAGTTTATTGCCAATGTTACTCCGTGTTTTCTACGAGCTGTAGAGTTCTCATTTGGCTTGCAATGTATGGCTTTGCTCGTTCTTAGAAATGAATGCTAGTTTCTTAAGACTCTGCTGTCTGATCTGGAAGTGTAAACAACATACATTTGAGACATTTTTTCAGATCAAGTAAGTTGCAGGGTAAACAAGTCCTTCCTCAAGCATTCAAAATGCTTGTTCAGGTTTGAATCTTTCAAATCGAAGGAATGCGAAAATACATTAAGCTCAAAGCAAAGAAATCTAAGTTTATAATAACTAAACGAGGTTATATTTTGATGCTTCTTTATTAAATGTACAGCTTCAAATTTTCTTTGAACACATGCAGTTCACCTAACATGCACTACAAAAAAAATGAATATGTTGCGCTCTGTTCTAAAGGCGAAATATGAGAAACAAAAACCCATATCTCGTATATATCGCAGCTTTAAAAGCAGCGATGATATGTTCGATACAAAAACTCTCAACCTCACTGATGTTTTGAGTTTTTCACTTTGCTTGATCAACTTGTTGCGAATAGTAGAGAGTGGGTCTACTTTGAGCATCAAATTGTGGCTTTGCTGCTCATTCACCAAACTCACAACTTGTCACGCATAAAATTTGCTCACATATCGTGACAGTTGAGGGCTGTGTATCTCATGAAGCCGTCTCAGAGCTTACCACATGAAGCATTCCATGTTGCGACAAAATCAACCTTGAATCTGGATAAAAAACAACAGGAGTTACCATTGGCTACAATGTAAATACCTGTAGCTTATAACAACTTGCGTTACAATTTGCGACTACCATGAAGAAAGAAAAAAACAAAACAAAACTGTTTACCCTTGTATACAGGGGAATACAAGGGTATACAGGGGTATAGAGTGGTATGGAGGGGTATACAGGAGTATACAGGGGTATACAGGAGTATACAGGGGTATACAAGGTTATACAGGGGTATACAGGGGTATACAAGGGTATACAGGGGTATAGAGTGGTATACAGGAGTATACAAGGGTATGCAAGGTTATACAGGGGTATACAGGGGAATACAAGGGTATACAGGGGTATCGAGTGATATACAGGGGTATACAGGAGTATACAAGGGTAAACAAGGTTATACAGGGGTATACAGGGGTATACAAGGGTATACAAGGGTATACAGGGGTATACAAGGGTTTACACGGGTTTACAAGGGTATTTAGGGGTGTACAGGAGTATACAAGGGTATGCAAGAGTTTACAAGGGTATACAGGGGTATACAGGGATATACAAGGGTATTCAAGGGTATACAGGGGGTATACAGTCATATACAAGGGTTTACAGGGGTATACAAGGGTATACAGGGGTATAAAAGGGTGCAAAATCATGCTGCACGTGTCGTAACTTTTTCAAATTACAATCATAGTACTGATGAATTGTTGCAAATGGTAAACTGGGTTAAACTGGACTGACAACGCCTTGTTGATAAATCAATGATGTATAAGATTGTAAATAATACGTTTCCGAACTATCTTGGTTCACACTTTGACACCGTTCCAATACTTTAACCTATAAGTTAAGAGATAGTGAATGTTTGCTTGCCATTCCACAGCCCCGCACTAATTATTGTAAAAGAAGTCTGTCCTACAGTGGAGCTGAACTGTGGAATAGTCTACCCTTGGATATTCGTCAGTCGCCCTCTCTTGATGAGTTAAATCTAAGTTGAAGAATTATGATTTTGATAGTAGTCTTATGTAAGTTTTATTTTGCTTTTATACACAGCTTCCTTGTAAAGCAGGTTTTTATCATTTATTTCATTGTTAGTAGCAGTTACTAGTGATTTATTAGTTAGGTAGTTAGACTAATTTAATTCAATATTGTTAAGTCCTGAAGGAAATACTGTGTCTCCTAAAAGATTTTACCTTAACAGGGGTATACAAGGGTTTACAGGGGTATACAGTCATAAACAATGGCTTACAGGGGTATACAAGGGTACACAGGGTTATACAAGGGTGTACAAGGGTATATAGGAGTGTACAGGGGTATACAGTCATATACAAGGGTTTACAGGGGTATAGAATGGCATATTCTTGGGACACTATACGTAGTCTTACATAAAGTGCATACCCATGTGTGGGCATTGTTGGAATAGTAACCGCGTAGACATCACAGTGAGGCTGGCCTTGTCAACATATCTTGTTGTTTTTTTTAAAATAAATTTATTTCATGCACAACAAATTACTTTACCATAAGGTACTAAAAACGAGTCAAAGAAAAAAAGCCACGTAGAATACGATAGCACTAACAAAACGATACTTATGCTACTAAGAACAATACTAATACTACGATACAATACAATTACTTACAAACTGATAAATTTAATTAAGTTACTTAAGGCTGGTTTCCATATGATCGCAGACGATCGTGGATCGCAGATCGCAAAAAGTTCTGCGATCGTCTGCGATCGTCTGCGATCAATTGCGATCGTGCGATCATATGGAAACCAAAGTTCTGCGATCTGAGATCGAAATGTATCCCATAATATTTTTAATTCCGACCCATGATTCAACGCTTCTTTGTAACCAAGCAACCGCTTATTTGTTGTAAACATGGCTGACGGTGAACAAGGTAACTTTAGTAGCGAGAAATTTATGGAGGACGTTGCGTGATATCAGTGCGTTTACCACCGTAACAGTAAAGATATCAAAGACAAAAACAAAAAGGCTAACTACTGGGAAAAAATCGGGAAACTTAATTTATCGGCGGCTGAGGCGGATGTCAAATTCCGCCGCCTAAGAACTGCGTATGGTCGTTATCTGAAGCGATTGAAAACACTACCTTCTGTATCGGGGCGAGATGCAGTGCCAAGGGAATTTCAAAATAGGTTGACTAAAAGAAGAAATAAATTTGCTTGCAGCAAAATTTCCTCCTCGACGTCCACCATATTGTTTGCTGCGATTTTCCCGCCAGCACAACGCGCGTGTAATTTTGACAGTTCCGCTGTCCGAAATGTATGCAACAGTCGGCTCTGAGATCGCTTGCGATCGTCTGCGATCATATGGAAACAACTCTCTTTGCGATCGTCTGCGATCTGCAATTTGCGATCTGCGATCGTCTGCGATCGTCTGCGATCATATGGAAACCAGCCTTTACAAATGGATGGTAACAGTATTTGCATTTGCACAGCTGGCCTCCAATAATTAATTGGTTAAAAAGTTGGACCAGTTTTTGTTAAAAGAAAATAGTTTATTTGTCGTAATTGCAATGTATTTTTCTAATTCAATTTTTTCATTAACAAGGGTTACAAAATCTGTGAACTGGGGTCTTTTTTCATCATGTACTGTGCTAATGTAAAGAAAATAGTTTCCAATTATAATCAAGTGATTTAGGGTTAAACTGGACAGTGTGTATCTTAAAACACCATATGTAATTTTGTTTTGCTCCAAAGCAATGTTTCCTCCACGTGTAGTGTTGTACCATTCTGTAAATTTATTCCAAAAGGATTTAGCACTAGGACATTCCACAAATAAATGGAGTGGTGTTAAATCAATGTCGTGGTAATAAGGACAATCTGGTTGCTGTTTCTTTTTCATCTTGTACAGAATTTTATTTGTATACAGAATATTATGAACTATTTTATATTGAAACACGGATAATTTTACCTCACTTGTGACATGAAAAGGAAGTGAGTAGAATTTTTGTCTTTCTTGAAAGATAAAGCCACATTCAATGAGCCCCTCTGCATTTGGAGGAGGGAAGTGCTGGTGATTGAGTAAAAAATTGTAAATTGTTTTGCATGTGAGCTATTTGATTACAAGTGGTACGCATTCAGTTGACGGTAGAAGACATTCTTGCTTTAGCATAGTTTTCCATTCCTGTGGTATTGCAGATAGAAGACTGTTATACTGTAGAAAATTACTCTTGAAGTTGTATTTCTGCATGAAGGTTGTTAAAGTCATCAAGGTGTTGCTTTTGTTTGTCGAAAAGGTACAAGAGATTTTCAATGCCTACTTTTTTCCAACCAGGGAAAAAAACAGATGACTTGTTTACTTGAATAAACTGATTGTTCCATATTATTTGATTTAACACGTCTCCTTTTGTTCTCGGGTTAGTGCTATTAATTTTCTGCCAGTGGGAAATCATATCTCGATAAAATTTTGGTAAGTTTTCATTCAGGGGTAAATATTGAATGTTATAGTTGCACTGGAAAAGAAGGTTGCCGCCTACATTGGAAAGTAACGATAGTGGGATAAATTTCCATGGTCTTTTATCGTTAGCGCATAGCGCTTTATGCAGACTATCTTTAATGCTTTATCAAATAACGTAAAATCTAACATATTAAGTCCTCCCTCCTTCTTGTTTTTGATTATAGTCGTTTGTTTTTAGTTTTGGATTCTTGTACTTCCATATATGTAATCGAATATTATGTTATTTACTTTATCGGTAAACCCTTTTGGAGTGTCTAACACGCTGCAGATAAAAGTTAGTTTGGATATTGCCAACATTTTGACTATATTTACTCTTCCATATATGCAGTGCTCTTCCATATATGCAGTGTTTAAGGTGGCTGAACACAGTTTTAGACACCTGTGTTTCATTCACCTTTTTCACTGAAACCCTTGATCCCTTGGTCGCCAAAAATGGCAGCAAGCAAGTTAACAACGCAAACTTTGGTGTTTTGATGGTTAAGCTGAAATATGTGTCATTACCATGGCAACATGAATAAATATAAACAGGCCTTTCAAATCAGTTTTGTTTATTTGTAGAAAATCTAGTTGTTAGATTTTATAATTTGCATGCAACAAGCTTGTAACAATTCTCACAATAAACACCATTTTACTAATAAATTAACAGAGAGATCTTTAATTATCCTTTGTTGAAGGTTCACTGGAATATCTAGAATTTCCTTTGTTAAAGTTCAGTTTTTTTCAATACTCCAGTTACTTATTTCCTAAAGTATTTTTGTGCCAAATTTCGTGAAATTCTAATAAGTGGTTCTCGAGAAATAGGCGTATTTCCAAGAGTGCAATTTTTCATTCAATCTCAATTTTTTGACTTACTATACATGCACTGCATTTGACTGGGTTCTTTGGGTAACAAAGGAAAAGCTGAGAATATTATTGCTGGGTTCTTTAATTTTAATTTATTTGCATTATTACCTTTTCTAACATATCTTTGTAAGCCACCAATACACCATGTTCAATTATAGAGAAAATAGTACAGATAGTGTGAGTGTTGAGTAAATAAAATGATCGCTCTATTGACAGCATGTTTGTTTTTTTGCAATCCTTGTGCGTGCACTGAATTACATCAACAAAAGCACGCATGAAAACTGTGTTTGGCCACCTTAATGTTTTCGCTGGTGTTTTTGATGTTACGTTTCGCCTGCAAGTCAATTTGTCTACAAGGCGATTCGCCTAGGACATCGCAGTTGTTTTTCGCCTACAAGACCAAAGTCTATTGGCCCTCACAATCCTTGTCGATTTGCCTACGTTGAAGTCAATTCACCTACACTAAATAGTTATTACTAAATACTAAATACTTATCTAAAAATTGGCAAATGGGTTTACAATANATCCGATCCGTGATCCGATCCGTGATCCGGTCCGTGATCCGGTCCGTGATCCGATCCGTGATCCGATCCGGTCCGATCCAGATTTTGTCGACGCCGCCTTAGCTGGAATTGTTTTGTCATCTTCGTTCAATCAGGAAAATTTAGTGCACGTCAATTTGTCCTGAGTAATGAAAAACCATATGTACCATTTTCCCTATTTAACAATATATGATTGCTGGAAATTAAATTTATTTATGTCCCACCATTGAGAGGTTTTTTTTATTACCAGAAACATTAATTGCTTAATATTATTTGTCACAGGAAGGCTTGCAAACTTCAGCCTCCCCTGAAGATATGAAATTTTCGCTGGATGAACTGGAGCGAGAGGTGATTGAGGCATGCGCCATAGTGGAGAGAGTTCTTAAAGAGAGAGAGGAACGAACTAAAAGGCAAAGGGAAGAGGTGCAAAGACACAGAGAGAGAAGAGAACAGAGACAAAGGGAAGAGAGAGAAATGAGAGAAAGAGAAGAAAGGGAAATGAGGGAAAGAGTAGACAGGGAAGCAAGAGAAAGAGAAGATATGGCCAAGGCAGAATTGGCACCATTTCAAGAAAGCCCACTATGGCAATGTGAGCATTTTCAGCGGCGTTGTAGTGTGAGGTTTCCATGTTGTAGAGTGTTTTACCCGTGCCACCGCTGTCACAATGGGTCAGGGGTTTGTGACGCCAGGGATAAGAGGGCAAACCAAGCAACGCATATTAAGTGCACTAACTGTGGACACAGGGAAGAGGTCAGTAGATTTTTTTAAATTAGTGCTTTGTTGTCACTGAGAATCTCTTATCAAGTCCCATGAAAATAGGAAGGAACAAAGACATGAGTAATTGAAGTTAACCAATGGTTATACAAAGATGACTGATGTGGCAGCTGAAGGAAAATGTTTAGCACTTAAAAATATTTATTTCTACAAAGTGACATCTTGGAGTCTTAGCTGTTTTACTCTAGAATCCAAGCAACCTCTATATGTAAAGTGTGAGCTTTTAATTCTTACTGTTCAGTATTTACATAAGACTTCAAACAGTTTTAATAAACAGTCAATTGCCCTTCAAGAGGCAGAAAGTGGGTCACACTGACAATGGACCTTTTTGGTGATATGGTGGCCATTTTGAATTCTGTTGTTTCAAATAGCTATTATGGGATGCTCAGAAGGAAGATTAGTATGTATGTGCCCCCTAAGCTTCCCATAATAGCTATTTGAAACAATAGAAATCAAAAATGGCCATATCCTTGAAAAAGTCCGTTCTACCTCTTCGTTGCATTCAATGTTAGAAATTAAATATTGGACAGACATGCAGCTGTTGTGTGCACTGTTACCAAGCTAGAAGGCAGATTCTTCTTCTCCACCATTTCATGCAAACTGGCACAGCAAATTCAGGCCAAATATTGCATTCACCATCATGTGCAATTATTTCAGTGTGACTTGTTGACACTGCCCTCAAAGCACACATCTGTGAAAGGGTCCTTCATCTTGTGAATGTTTTTCTTGTTTTGATATTTCAGATAAATCAAGGAAGTCAGATCTGTAGCAGCTGCGGTACCAGAATGTCCGAGTACTTCTGTTTTAAATGCAAACATTTTACAGGGGTAGACAAAAACCCGTTTCACTGCGACAAGTGTGGAATATGCCGGTATGAGGTTTAGAATTCAGTTTAATGTTTTACCTTTTTTACCTGTTTGTTTGTTTGTTTGTTTCATTGAGGAGTACAAAGAGGCCAGCTAACAGATAGTGACAAATGGACAAAATAAACCTGCAATGAAAAACCAAACTGTTAAATGGGAAATGGAGATCATGCAAACTTCCACAAGTCACCACTATAGACCCTTTTCATAAATGGCCGCCAATTTAAAATTTGTTTGTTTGCATTTAAATTAGCCTCACTAAACTCGTTTGGGAGTAAAAATTCTTTTGAATTATCAACTCAGAAACGAGGTTAGTCAGGCTGATTTTAATACTTACAAAAGAATTTATAATTGCCAGCCATTTATGAAAAGGGTCTATACATGTATTAGAGACAACTAAATTAAAAACAACTGTTTTTTATTCCATGCCTGATGAAATACATGTACCTTGATGTGTGATGGCCCAGCCCTTGGGTTAGCAAATCAGTGATTAAACTTTTGCTCATTGAATTAAAAACACTGACAATCACTCTTGCACCTGCCCCTACTAGTGTCCCCCATGTAGTGAAAAAGATTTATTGTACTTGCTTGATCGACACTGTTAACATTGTACATTAAATTAGCTACCTGACAGCTTTGCTAAAAGAAACAGCATTTGAAACAAAAGGTGGATCAAAAATATTGAAACTTGATGGGAGGGGTGGAGTTTCCTGCCTTACTTCAGACCATTGACTATATATAATAATTTATTATTATAAGCTCTGAGAGTCTATATAACTTCAGCAGTTGGTCACAAAACATCAAGGAAACAAAGTCAGTGAGGACAAGATAGGGGTGGAACTTCACTATCTTTTTGTTCTTTTTCAATCGGCAGAATCGACAGAGACAGATCATTTCACTGTGATGTTTGCAATGTCTGCCTGGACAAAAGACTGGAAGGAAAACACAAATGCCGAGCAGTTTCACAACAGGACAAGCACCAGATTTGTTTGCAGGTAATGTCAGATCATGTTGATGTAAATTATGTCACTTGTGCAAGGCTATTATACTGGTCTTCTGCAGCACAGTAAGTGGGTGCTCCAAGCTGCAACCACTATGGTCGCTATGGTGAGTGAAAAGAACATGCAACTAGTGCATTACAATAGCAGTTAAGGCTAATTTCCCATTAACAAGGTTTTTTATAGTTTATCACCAAGCCAAACAAATTCAGCCACAATCTTTGTATGTTTGTCTTTCTTTCCTGTTTTTTTTTCTTTTATATACTTTCCTGAGCAGTAGTTAAGACTATTCAGCAAAGAAACCCAGTCAGAAATGAAAACTAACAGCATCGGAATGGTCCTCCAACGATTTTAATGTTGATGTATGACATTTGCAGCCTAAAAGAATGCAGACTGCAGATATTTTTATGGTCAACCATAATGTGTCACATGTATTTCATATGTCTGAGAGAGAGAAGATTTCTCAAAACTAAACTTATTTGCGTGAGGTCAGACTGTGTTAAAAAGTCAATAATTTGCATGTGTTTACGGCCCATCGTCTTTTGTGGTCCCATTTTTTTTTTTTTTGGAGAAAGTTCTACAACTTTATTATTATTATGACTCGCAGATTTACAATTTTACAGAAATATATACACATTAAGTTCAAAAAGCTTGACAATAGCAACAGTGTGAACCCGCAGGTAGCCTGGGCTAATCTAGGTGGGCCACATCTATATTTATATTAGACCATTAATACATAAATAAGATTGTTATGCAACTACTTATAGAAGGATTTACGAAACCATCAGTTAAGATGTGATTATACTGAATATTTCTGAAAATATTCGAGCCTGGGCTGATCGTCCCAAAGCTCCCAGTATGCTACTGTACAGTGTGGGCAGTCTTTGACAGTCAATATGCTAAAGTTACTAAGTTACTCAATAAATAGACTAAATACAATTAATAGTTAGAGGGTAATCATTAAATTAAAATTATGTGCAGTGCTGGAAATAATTTTTCTTCTTTAACAGGACATGTGTCCTTTCAAATCTTCATTTTGGTCGGACATCTTATCAATTTGACCGGACATTAATTTGCATAATTTATTTGCATAATTAATTAGCATAATAAAATTTATTAGCATACTGTAAAGATTTTCAATACAAATCGTTCAAAACTGCATTTAAATTTGATTTATTTATCATTTATGATTAACTAGATGAATTTGTCTAGTAGATGACTGCACCGATCTCTCCTGGTTATCTCCTGGTTATATGTTGTTCAAGCAAACCTAGTTTTCTATTGAAGGAGCCCATCACTAGGAGCGTGCAACTACCCCTTTTATTCCTGTCCCAACGTTTTCACAGACCGATCTATTTTTAGTTTGAATTTACCGCGAATCCAGACTCCCCCAGGAACCTCAGTGACCAGTCACAAGCACGGACTTAATAATTTCACTGCAAGATTAGGTCAACATGTCCACCTGAGGCCGCCATTTTTCTCCTTATTGATTCGCGCTCGTATAGACCAGAACTGACCTTTTTCGTGGAAAAAGAAGCCTAAAAATAGACCGGTCTGTAAAAATACTGTGACATGGGCCTAGTATGGGAGTTGCAGGCTCCTTGTGATGGGCTCCTGACCAAAGTTGACTCTAGGGTACATACATGAAGTGCTGTCAGCATATCGCAATGCACGTAACACATAAATAGGGCGATTTCTGGAGAGTATTTTATTTGGCAAGTACAGGAAAGATGAACACTTCTGCTTTATGATATGGCAGAAGCCCATTAGGGGTTCCTGAATATGGCTCAAACTGTCAGAGTCAAGGGCCCAAAATTAAAAAAAATCTTGAGTTGCCATTTGGCGACGAAATGATAAAAATCAAGTAGGAATTTTACTCAGAAAAGAACTCAATGCATAAAATCTGTAAAGAAAAAGTTCCCAAGACTTTTTTGGCCGCTAATTTTGTGTACGTAGCTAATGTGATGTCTGTGAAGGATTCATGCATTTCAAGAGACACAATCGGTGGTCGTACATGACGTACTCAATGTTCAAGGGTTTGCAATGCATTATAGGGCGATTTCAAACACGATCAGCCGTTTGCAAGGTTTCCGATGTGAGGGAATCATTCACAGCAAAACAAAAGGATAGATTGTTTTCTTTTCTTATGTTGAATGTTATAGAAGTAAAGATCTTTCACTAAGTAGTTCTGGAAGGACATAATGTCTGAGAAAATAACCCTTATTGATCGTCAACACAGAGAAACCTAGTCGCCATTATGGTAGCCTGTGAATGCAGACATACTTTCGGCTATCGACTAAACCAGAATTTTTGGCCGCCAAAGATGACAGTTTAGCCGCATTGGCGACCGTACCGGTGGCAATTTCGAGCCCTTTAACAATGTATCTGAACAAATTTTATGGGTGGACAATAACTTGGTGTTAGTGAAATGTTCGGACATCATGTCCGATCATAATGTGAAATTGGCCGGACATATTCAAAATTTGGTCGGACAATGTCCGATGACCGACTGTTATTTCCAGCTCTGATGTGGCCTCTGTGATATGGAATTCTCTATGGGTAGCTAAGTTTAAAACAGTAAAACAAAGTCCTTGGGTAGTGGTTACATTTCACCGGCATGGCATTTTTGTTGTTATTGTCATATATGCAATCATTCTTGTATGACTAGGGTAGGACAGTTGCTTTCAGAAATGTTTATAGCTATTCAATTACTAGCTTTCAGAATTCTCTTGCCTTGGTCTTATAATTGCAATTTCTCTGTTGCCTTGTCTTAAAAAAGCTTAAGCAACCCTGGTTGTATGATTAAAATCTATTTTCTTTTAAGAGTGGTACATTTTTTACAATATATAATTATGTCATCCATGAAATGAATGTTGTGTAACCCACCTATTTGACTGTTCCATATTGCTGTTCTAAACTAAATTCCTTTTTCAATTTTTGATGGATTTTGTCACCTCTTTTCAAAGTGACTTACATGTATTATAATTATAATTGTAACATAAGGCTTTCCTGTATAATACCTTATTTTCTTCTAAAAAACACTAGAATATTATATATAGTATCTTCAATATAAGATGTCCATTTTGTGCTATTAGTACTGATATCATTAAGCTTTTGTTTCTGAACTCAAGAAACAATGAAATTGACTGTTACTGAACAATATTAGTAATAATTATTTGTGAATATGTAAACCTCTTGGTCAGACTAAAGTGATGGCAATTATTTGTGACAAGTTATTTATCTTAATCGGTAGGTACATATAGCTGGTGTGCATGTCTATTCCAGCTTGTTTTCTTTATATACTAAAATCTGTTAGTACTTTGTAATGAGTACCTGGCCCCATTATTAATATTTTATTTCAGAAATAGAAAACATGTTCCGTGTTTCTCTTGAGTTTTAGTATAAATCTACTAGCGCTCTATCAAGAATGCCGTTCTCTGATTGGCTACGCTACTCACTATCTATTTGAACAATAGATTGTTTCTGATCGGCTGATAGTTGCCCTTTGGAAATTTGATGTTCTTAAAACAAATATTTCGCTTCTCGGGCAAATATGCGTAAAATTGGAAAAAGAAAACAAACAAAAACCCTCTTATTATAAATTCAATTGTGTGTTTTGTATAAGCCCGCTTGTTGACAGAAATATTTTCACGGACGAGTGCTATCCATCCGGGTATTTTCCTCGGACGGGCATTATGGGCTGATAGTGTCTCTCCGCGGATGAACACTATCGCGTCACGTGATCAGTTTAAACCAATAAGAATCGGAGAAAATTTGGTGGTGAACTATAAACTGTGATAGATAGTGAGTAGCGTAGCGTTGTGTCCAGGTTATGAACAAAATGACGGCCGTTTACGAAGTGTCGGTAAAGAGGATTTAGATAAAGTTTTGCACGACTGGTAGATTTATACTAAGACAATTTCGATTTCTATGCGTGATAGCTGACTCGGGCTTCGCCCTTGTCAACTATCACGCGATAGAAATCTCGAGCTGACTAATTTATGTCTGCTAATTTGAAGTTACAGGAGAACCAAGGGCACGAAGGGGATGCGTTAGAAGGTCAACGTGCACTTCAATTTAACAGGATTGAAGACGCAGTGCCTGGAGATGGCCATGGGGTGGAGAGTGATAACGAAAGCAACCCCGAGTCTGAATCAGAGTGTAACGTAGACCCCTTGTCTGCAAATAGTGACAATGTTGTGCTGAGGTTAATAACCACAGCTGCTCCAGAATCCCAGAAGCAGATAGACCGTTTGGAGAACGCTTTACGGGAACTTAAAAAAGAGAATCAGACTCTCCAGGATTTGTTAGAAAAAAGTAACCGTTTTAGCGACTCTTTATGGTTTTTGGATATTCTGGACATTTCCATGTTGCAAAAAGACGAGACTCTTATTTTTAATTTGTTTTCCTTTCTTTGTCTTGTGGAATCTCAGCAAACAACAGAGGTGACAGGGCTAACTTGCCCGGTGTGGATGCTGTTTGTGATGATTCAACCACTCGCCTGTCTGTGCCTGCAATCAGACACTTCAATGCCGGAGTGGCGGCAAATGTCCCACCGGAGCCCTCACTGGTTGACATAGTACAGGGAATTCATCCCGGATTCTTAACAAGGCACTCTCAAGACCGGGACCTTTGTGAAATTCCTCAAGCCAATGTGGAGTCTCATAACAGTTCATTACCAGAAGCCGGACCTTATATGGCACGTATCATAATCTTTGTTCGACCTAGCAGGGCTACGTTGTATGCGTTCAACTGTCAACAATATTGATTTTTCGAGACAGAGAAAGACTGACTGCTTGTATGGATTTGAAAAGCTAAACCATTGTATGTTTGGTCTTTTTGTACAGGTTTCATCTTCGGAAGACCCAGTCTCCCGACGGTGCATTAGAAACCCATGCTTGTAAGTGTTGGCAACCTGTGAAAAATATCTGTATCTGCCACTAAAGTTGATTCTGTTCTAAAGCTAAGTAAAAATCATGTAGTTAATTGTTAACTGGAAGTCGATCTGTTCAGACAAAATAAAGAATAAGTAACTAAGGTAACGTTCCTTTTTTATTTGTGTTTTACACAGGATACCGTCTCAGAACGATTGTGTCTGCTGCGAGGTAATATTCAGATTGCATGTAGCTTTATATTATAATTTCTAACAATCATCTTGATGTTTCTGTAGTTGGAAATTCACAAATCTGATTGATTCTCTCATTTTGTTTGTCTGATGACGAAACAATTGCACTTGCAGGGGAGCAGGGTTGGCGCAGTGGTGAGAGCGCTCACATTCATGTAAAAATCCTTTGTTTGGAAACATAAGTACGCAGCTAAGGACGTGCAAAGTATTATTCAAATTTAGGCACCATTTATGCAAAGGGTTTAATTATTTGTGGCGTAGGTTCAATTCTGGCCCTGTGCCATATGTGGGTTGAGTTTGTTGTTGGTTCTTACCTTGCTCCGTTGGTTTTTCTCTGGGTACTCCGGTTTTCTTCCCTCTCCAAGTACCAATTCGATCAATATTGTAATTAATTGATTATTTTCTTGACTATTGGGTTAAAAATACATAAGTGAAGGCTTTGGACTCGGTCCTTTAGCGTGTGTATTAAAGCAACTGGACCCAGTTTTCTTTGAGCAAAAGCGAACTCACCTTAACTACTCGCCCATAGAAAACTTGAGCTTCTAACAATATTTTAACTTTTTAATGTAGTCCGTAATATCGTTTCTATTGTTATAACAAGGGAAGGAACGTATGGTCTGCTAGTGAGTGCTTATTTCACCTCAGTGAAAAAGTGACTCTTGGTTTGTCTTACATGTATATTGCTGTGGGAAAGTGAAACTGAATATTTTAAAGTATTAAAATTACTAATACTTTTACACATGTTGGAATTGTTGCAAGCAACGATGCAGGAATAGTGGGCAATTCTGGAGCAAAAATTTGCGCAGTATTCGTGGATTTAATTTTTAAACAGGCAATTCAAACATTGTGCGTATCGTGTCTGGGCCTTGAAAATTTGTCGACACTTACATCTCAGTTTGCTGCGGTTCATTTTCAGCGGAGATTCAACTGAGTTGCTGTCCATGAAGGAGTAAGTTTAACAGCCTCCTGTGTGGCCATCTAGTATGTGCTTTTCTTTAATATTTCAGAACGATGGAAGCCAGACTGGCAGTGTTGATAGTACCATTATGCCTGAGAGATGCCGACCATATTCAGTTCACAACATGTGTTGTAAATGCTTGGAGGTGATTATTTAATATCACCATTTACTGATTACATCATTTACTAGTAGCCTAATACAGGTTCTTACTAGCCACGTCACGTTCAAAACAGTGTGTATGTGTGTGTGTTGGGGGTGGGGGTGGGGATGGAGGAGGGGGGAGGGATAGACTCCCATTCCTGGTGGTGCCTGTTGTACCTTGTATGAGTTAAGAGTGTATGTTTGCTGGTTTCAAATATCCACAGTTGTATTTGTCACTATGCCTGTTAGTGTATTTCAGTAATTTGTAGTTGGATGAAATAAAACTGCTTTTGACAGATCTTTTTTTTTACTGAGAACTTTCCATTCTTCACTCTCCTTTAGGTTGTGGTCAGCGGTTTCAACATCTTGCCATGCTCACACCCTGTTCATAGGGAGTGCCTTATCGGCATGATTCAAAATGGCGAGTAAGTACCTACAGTCAAACCTGTAGTTTAAGTGGCCACCACCATTCACTGATTACATCATTCACTTATAGCCTAATACAGGGTCTAACTAGCGTATTGTATCATTTTTGGCTTTCATCTATCTGTCACTTCTCAGTTCTGATGATAGAAGCATGTTTTTGGAAACTAAAAGGTCTTGAGCAAACTGAGTGGAATTTGATTTCACTGGAAGTCTGCATGCCTTTCCTAGCTGTTGCTGAGTTGTAGTGTCTCCGTGCTTTGTGCAGAGGGTCACAGATTTGGGAATTTTTTATTTTCAAGTATGTCAGTTGGTAAAATAGGTAGTTTCTTATGGTTACTACTAAGAGTATGTTTTTCTCGCTTTTGACATTTTCTTTTTGTTCTGTTTCTTTCAGATTGAACTGCCCGATTTGTGGTCGTGCTTTCCTTTGGAGGGGCTAAGATACCAAGTGATACTCAGAGTATTCATCTAAGGGGAAATATTTTTGTCACATAAATATTCTTACATGGTCGACGAAGTTAAGGCGTTTTGTTATACCTCCCAGCTCAAATACGTTTTCCGATTGGAGGAGAACGTGTCACGTGTCGTGGGTCAAAACTCACGAACTCCCTAGAGAAACAACAACTTGAACTTTCGACTTGCACGTGTTCAGGTCGTGCTCCTTTAAACCGCGGGAAATTTGTGAGCCAGCCGGCATAAAGCAAACCATTTCTTTGCAGGTTTTTTCTATTTTTGAGTTGGGAGGTATAACAAAACACTTCATGAGTGGTCCCGCGGGAAACAGTGAGTCTTGTTTCCCCTCGACCTCAATGTTCCCCTCGGGAACACTGTTTGCCTTTGGGCCAGTCATCAAGTGCTTAATATTCCACAACACTTTGTGATAATATAATACTTTTCACAAATAATTAAGGACTATAAACAGCCCTCCAAGTTTCGACCATTTTAGTTGCCATGGCGACTAGAATTTTGGATCTGGCGACTAACTTAAAACAGAAGTCGCCAGCCCGGCGACTAAAATCAACGTGATAAAAATCTGGACAGAAAAAATAGGTACGCAATGCGTACATGTGTCTACTGCCTTTTGTTGGTGAATGTTTGAGTTATTTTTTTGTAAAAAAAATACCTCTTAGTCGGCGCGTCGGGTATGTTATGGACGGGTCAATGGGT